GGGCTACAACAAATGACTTTTCATCTTCATCCTCGATGAGAATGGAAAGTCATTCCTGTTACTACTTTGTCACTTAACTCGTCTGTAGTTGTAGTTAGTTTATTTTTCTGGCTGGCTCACGTATGCGTGTACTTCGTACATGATTGCACCATACATGCCAGCCATTCCTCCCCTGTATTCTGTTGACTGGTCCACGTATGCATGTACCTGGTACATGATTGCACCATACATGCCAGCCATAAGGGCAACTCGCGGTTATGATATATGTACATAGAGTTGCGAATATGCAATAATCGCGTTTGCTTATAGAGTTGCGAATCACTGTTTTTCGCGTTTACTTTTCAGGGTAGTGTTGCGACTTGACACAATACGCGATTGGTTTTATGCAAACTGAGGTATTAAATGTTTGCTTTAAAAATAGCGTTGCGAATTATTAATAAACGCGATTGCTTGTAGAGTTGCGAAATACTATTTTTCGCGTTTGCTTTTCAGGGTAGTGTTGCGAACAATCACGATTCGCGTTGCTTTTTTACTTTTTTATATATATAATGGATGCCAACCGCGTTTGTAATTTTCATGTTATAAATTAGCGTTGCGATCTTGATTAATCGTGCGATTTTTTATTTAGCGTTACGATATTTTCAATGCCCAAATTCTACCCCAATTGTAGTGCTAGTAGTAGTTAGTTTATTTTGTGGCCAGTACATGTGCATGTACATGTACCAATAGCCCCTGATTAAAGTTAGAGTTGCGAATAATATACAATGTTCGCGTTTGCTCCTAGAGTTGCGAACAAATATTTATCGCGTTGATATATTAGTGTTGCTTATAAACACGATTCGCGTTTCTTTTATGCAAACCTAGGAACCGGGAGTTTGCTTTAAAAATAGTGTTGCGAATTATTAGTAAACGCGATTGCTTCTAGAGTTGCGAATCACTATTTTTCGCGTTTGCTTTTCAGGGAAGTGTTGCGAATAACTACCATTCGCGGTTGCTTTTGTTGTTACAAGTCGCGTTTGGAATTTTTTCTATTATAAATTAGCGTTGCGATTGTTGATTTCTCGCGTTGTTGCCCCGTAGTGTTGCGATATTTAAAACGTCTAACTTCATCCCCATATGTGCCACTCTATTGTAGATTTAAGTAGCTTGAAGTAGTTAGTTTATTTATTGCATGTGTATTTGCATCAACGATGGACGTCGTCAGCACTACGATCCAGCATTTTTGGGCAAAACGCGATTTGCATTAGCGTTGCGAAACATAAATATATTTCCATTAAAGATAGAGTTGAGTATATCCGTTTGCGTACCACGAGCCACTTTCGCGCTCTTCAGATTTTGTGTCGAGAAAAGCCAGGGCATTTGGCCGAAACAGACAATTGACGGTCCACCCGATATTTACCGCATTAAATATGACAAGCGCTATCGCGCTCTTCGGCTTTTTTCGACACGTAACCGGAGGAGCGCTATCGCGCTCTTCGGCTTTTTTCCACACATAATCGAAGGAGCGCGATCGCGCTCCTTGGCGTTTTTCGATCGTGTTTTTTCAAAACCCTCTGGTACGCAAACAGATATACAATAATCGCGTTTGCTCGTAGAGTTGCGAATTCCTATTTTTCGCGTTTCTTTTCCAGGGTAGCGTTGCGAATTCCATACGCGATTGCTTTTATTGTTATTTAAGAATAGCATTGCGAATAAACTGATCGGTTTGCTCTTAGCGTTGCGAATTACTATTTTTCGCGTATACTTTTCAGGGTAGTGTTGCGAATAATCACCATTCGTGGTTTCTTTTATTGTTATAAATCGCGTTTGGAATTTTTCTATTATAAACTAGCGTTGCGATCTTGTCGCGTTTTTTATTAATTAGAGTTGCGATTCAATGCCTAAAAGCTGGCCAAAACGCTGGCCACTGCACCAGGATCATCAAGAAGCAAGCTGGGATTCTGCAAAGCCTCGAATGGCTCAACGTCATTATCAAAATTAGTGTTGCGCATGATTGAATATAGGTGCACGCGATTTAATTAATAAAGGAACCCTGTGTGGTTCATTTTACAAATAACAAGCACCACTCGCGTATAATTTTTTATTTTATAATTTAGCGTTGCGAAAGAGAGAATGGTCCACTCACGGGTTGTTTGAATTTAAGACGAGTGGACATTTATTCCAAATATCTGGAATATATTCTTTCTTTATATATTTCCCAAAAGAAATACTGCTTGAAAGTACTGTTGTAAATAGACCAATTGTTTCATTCTTCATAACGTGTACAAATTTATAACTTTTATGTATACATTTTTATCACAGATTTGTGATGCATTTAAAAATTCTATATTATGATTCATTTGATCGTAGATTGAATTTAAGATTCCAATATATACATATATCACTAATTATTCATTATTAGAGTTGGTAATTGTTTGCGGGATATAATAACCTTTGCAACTCAATTGTTATATATAAATAGTGAATTTTTTTAGAAATATTCTGTATTCTTTGCATTAATCAAAGTTTGTTCACGATAATTGTTTTAATTGATGGAAAATAGAATGCTTGCATCAAAGGGGTATGCAAATTACAATTCGATATTTCATATTGAAAGTTAATTTCCGCGTAGAATCGACATTTTCGTTCGTTATTGCTTTTTCTGCACGAACGTAATTTAGTTTTCAATTTAAAATTTTTTATTTCATAAAAGAAAGGAAAAATAAAATCTACGGTAACAAATGAATATAATTTTCAATCTATTTGGTATTTATCTTAACACTGAGACGAATTTAACATTTCATTCAATTTCAGTTACGTAATATTTATGTTTTTAAACGTTTTAATATCAATTTTTACTCGTGGAAGCTTTAGTTCAAATATTAATTTCATAATATCACTTTTACTATGATCGATTACCATTAGTCTATCTTGACGGTATATAATTATTTTTTTCTGTGTCCATTAATACACTTTTATTTCAGCTATTAATCCTTTGAATAAGTTCTTGTTACAGAATATATAATCATTGAAGAATGGAATTGGAAATGGTACATGGATTCCATCTTGATCGTTCTAAGAGAAATATTTCATTCAATTCTATTTATTGTCTGAGTTTATGTTTCAGGGAAACATCGTGGGATTAACCAAGACACCAAGAAGAAAATATCTTTTCATATTTCTTTGTTTTATATGAGTTATATTTATTGGATATGAGTTTTTGTTTCAGGGAAACATCGTGGGATTAACAAAGACACCAAAAAGAAAATATTTCCCCATATTTCTTTGTTTTATACGAGTCATATTAATCGGATATGAGTTTTCATTTTAGAAAAACATCGTGGGATTGACGAAGACACCAAGAAGAAAATATCTTGTCACATTTCTTCGTTTTATATGTGCCATATTTATAGTGTATGAGTGTATGCTTTAGAGAAACATCATGGGATTGATGAAGACACCAAGAAGAAAATATTTTTTCGCATTTCTTCGTTACCACAGATTGCGTTAGAATATAAGTACAAATGTATATAGATTATAAGATAACGAAACGTTCTCCAACGTTTTATTAAATACTACTGAAACGTGTGCGTAAATTTAAGTGGGAATGATTAATATTAAGGTACATATTAGTATTCTAATATGCAAGGTCCATACGTGCAGTTGCACATTTCTAGTTGGATCTTCAGTGTCTTCTTAGGCACTGTCATAATTAAGAAGGACCAATTAATAATAAAGTACATATTTGTACTTTAATAATCAGAGTTCGTACGTGCAGTTGCACATTCTAATTTCGTTTCTAGAAAAAATATGTTGGATTATCTCACATGTATAAACATTTTGTTAGGTTTTCGATCTCTTCATCAGAGTTCGTACATGCAGTTGCACATTCCAATTTCGTTTCTAGAAAACATGTGTATCATCTCACATGTATTGACATTTTGTTAGGTTCTTCATCTCTTCATTAGGCAGTTCTTTTAAGAACCCTTCCTTTGTAGCTCATTTCTGACTTTTCGATAGCTTCTCCCTTAGATAGGTATTCGAATTCCTCGCCAAAGGAAGGGTGGTTGGGGCGAGGCTAGGGTGGGTCTCCATTCGCAGCAACCTCCACGCGGTGAGACCTGGGTCATATTATTTACTATGTAATTAATATAATAATTAATTACATAACAAATAATATGAGCTAATGGCTGCGTTCTTCTTCTAGTTTCACATACCTTCTTCGCCTCGGTGTGCGGTCTGATCACATTGATTTCGAGTCGTAAATATGTTTTTGCTGAGTTATTTTTTAAATAAATGATATATCACAATTTAAAATAAAAAATAGAGAATTTGCGATGTACTTATCAATGAGGTACATTCTTACGTATTTTAATAATTTTGATGTCTTTAAATAATCTTAATCGATTGGTTACTCCAATGGAATTTATCGATTGATGCTCAATTCTGGACCGTAGAGTTTTCATTCCGTTTAAAAAATACTAAAATTTCTGTAATATCATTTTCTGTCTTACTTCCTCTTGTGTTAATTTCTAAATCTGTTGGTAACGTTGCGAGTGGCACTGAAATGGTAATGGGGCTCTAGAGCTACAGAAAGATGGACCGAAAAAGTACATTGGATGAAAGATCTACTCGTATACCTCGTCTGTGGGTCTATTCATTTTGTGTGCAAAGGTCTATTAATTTAAGTCTATTCTATAGTTTGTCGGTGCCTGAAGTATCTGCAACGGGTAAGCATATGCTTTACCGACCGTTGGATATATCGCGCGTAAGTCCCAATAGCCTGTAAAGGACCCCGAAGGGGTCCCATGGAATCTTTAGCCGGGCCCCAAAAGGTTGCGCGTCAGGTGGTTTTTTCCCTCCTGTTCCCCACTCCCCCCCAGCCACGAGAAACATCGTAGCATACCACCTGCAAGGCGATTGGTCAGTTCAGAGACAGGTCAAACGGCAACACATCGGTTAGCGTCTCTGTCACATTTATCTCTCGTTTCGGAGTCAGTTCTAAATTGTCGTCGGTCGCGTCTCGAACGTATCCCCGAGCCACGTGAGCCAACGTAGCAGCGATTTCGTGTGTGAAAAATCGCCCGATGAAACGGCCCGATCGAAAGTACAGCGAATTCTTGCGTGTTTTAACCGCGAGCTTTTGAAACAGTGCACAGTATGCGCCGTGGCGACGCGAGTGTAGTGGAGTGTTTTGACACACGCGTGGTCCGGTGATTTCTGTGAAACGTTGCGTTCGATGAATGAAGAGGACACTGTTACACGCCGTAAATAACGCGGGAGGAACGATCGTCAAGGTATGTGGCTCCGTTTTTCTATGACGGCCGCTCGAATTTGAGGTTAGGTTAGTTCCTATCAGTTGCCAGCATTCCCCTTGCGGTGGTCTCGAGTGCGTCGTGCTTTCGGCCTCGAACAATACCGTCCTTCGGAGGACGAAGCATCCGGGTCCTCTCCAGTCCCAGGCCCAAAGGGGTCCTTTTTATTTCTAAACGATGCGCGTCCGCGCCTGTCTCTCTTGCTCTCGTTTCTCTTTTCAGGAATGCGAACCCGGGGGTCCTGGCTGTATTCCTACCGTAGACCCCTCTGCAAAAGGAGCGATGGGCCACGTTTCCGTGCGCTCTCTTGCAAGTTTGTTTCGTTCAATTATCACGAAACTTCGCGTTCGCGTGCAAGCCTTGGAACGAGTCGAAAACGAGTCGAATCAAATATGGTTACTTCGCGAAACATTTATTTCGAACGTGTTTAATATTCTTTCGTCATGCTTTAAAATATTACCGTGTTGGTCGTTTAAAAATCGTAGACTGTTTGTTATTGTTTCTTTATAACCTACCTATTTTTATGTTTGAATTTGTCGTATGATTTTATTTGTTTCTTTGATAGTATTGCCTAGTTACAATCGAGAGTCACTTGAAAGATTTGTTTCTTAATAACACGTTTGAGATTTTTCGATCATCGCCGATAGGAAATCCTTGGCCAGGAATCGTCGAGGGTGTAAATGATAAATTTTTAGGCACATACGTTTTTGAACGTGATTCGTAAATTTTAAGATATACCGTTGCATTCATACGTGCTCGATTTTCGGTGTGCAATTCGATCCGCGTTGCACGTTTATGTGTTTTGCGTAACGTGAACAGATTTTGTAATGGAATACATACCTAGGGCGGGAATGTTTCGCGTCTCGAAACGCATGTTCGATTAAAAATCTGTTTCGATGGGACTACAAATTTTAATTCCCTCTCGATTAATTTATTCAACGTCTGATTAACGGTGACTGTGTTTACCATGACCGAATCGACCAGTTCTGTGTCATTTTGTCACGACGATCCGGAAAGATCATAAAACACTGTCCTCGATCGGTCAATTAAGTTCGAAATCAGACTTACGTAAATGATGGCGCAACGCAAGGACATATAAATCCTTCAATGGTGATGTATTTTGCAAGCATCATCCTTTGAACCTTCATGCATCGGTTAATTTTATTCCAAATTCGTTTAACCTTCTATTACATAATACGACCCATCAAGAATCCAGTAATAACAATTTTGGTAAATTCCTGTGTATTAATTGATATATGGATGTATAAATAACTAAGGAATATTTTCTTTTCATAGGTTAGCAAAATAAATCAAAATTTATAGAATAGAAAATTAAATTACCAAAAAATTAGTATGTTTGTGATATTAAAATTCATGGTTTATGATGAATATAAGAGTGGAGGGCTTCATAATTTTATGTTGCATTCAATTCGATGTGTTTGAACTCATATAGCTTAAACAATAAAAATAGAAGATGATATTTTGAAATAAAATCACATTTTAATGAGAGTTCTATTTTTGCATTATTATATTGGCTGATTTAGACGACAATCCATAATCTAATACTACTATGAAACTCGTTTCGTTTTGTTGAAATTTATTTAAAAATTCAGTGTTCTTAGGAAATTCAATATTCTCATGTTTCATCGCTGCAAGCTGTAATTCGATACAGTTCGGATATTCTAGCAGCATACTTACTTTAATTTGCTGATTGTTTAACTGATCACTATACTGACGCAGCATTGGATGACTAGTACTCCAATCGGTGATGATAGTGATACGATACATATTGATTTATAGAGCGTACATAATCTATACAGGGTGTTCGGGGTATTCCTGGAAAAAATTTTAATGGGAGATGGTCTGAGGCCAAAATAAAACGAAAATCAAGAATATCAATTTCTTGGCTGTGGCTTCGTTAAAAAGTTATTAAAAAATTAAATTAAAAAATTTCGAAACAAGCTGAAAAAATTATTTTTGGTTGCGAGAGGCAATTATAATCATTTTTGGTGAATACACATATCTCTGAAATCCTACCAACTTCTGAGAAAAAAATTCGGGTAGGTACTGAAATTTTTTGGCGAAAAAAAAATTTTTTTTCTAATCGTTCTAAAAAAATTATTTTCGATTGCAGGGTCGATTACGATCATTTTTGGTTATTATACATACCTCCGAAATCCTACGTATTTTCGAGAAAAAAATTTCTTACCGAAAATTTAATGTGAGGCCAGAAATCGTCCTCTGAAATTTCTTGCATATCTTTAAAACGTCATAACTTCTGAACGGATTGAAGGATTTTAAAGTTTCAAAATGCAAACAACGCGTATTTCGGTGAAGGATATGTAGAAATTCTAACAACATTCGAAAAGTTGTTCCTTGACCCCGTAAAGTGAAAAAACCCCATAAAAATGGCCCAATTTTCAAACGGCCATAACTCCTACAATAGGGGATGGAGCTCATTAAAATTTTTTCTGAAGCAGAGCCCATGGATACCTACAAAAAAGTATTAGATAATTTTTCCGTATAGTGTCAACCAAAATAATTAAAAATGAAAAACTAATTTTTAAGAAAAATCGACAGTGTTAGGTGTCTGATTTGAAAAAATTTTTCAAATCGTTCTAAAAAAATTATTTCCGTTTGCGGTGGTTAATTACAATCATTTTTGGTCATTACACATACCCCCGAAATCCTACGCACTTTCGAGAAAAAAGATTCTGTAAGTGCCTAAATTTTTCAACGAAAAAAAAAATTTTAAATAGTTCTGGAAAAATTATTTTCGATTGCAGGGGTCGATTACAATAATTTTTGGTGAACAGACATACCCCCGTAATCCTACGCAGTTGTGAGAAAAAAATTCAGTACGGGCGGAACTTTAAACGTTAATAACTTTTTAACGAAGTCTCCATCAACAAATTGGTATTCTTGATTTTCATCCTATTTTGGCCTATAGAATCTCCCATTACAATTTTTCTCAGGGATCGCCGAACACCCTGTATAAGCACATTTGATTAAACTGTTCAGACCTATTGTTTTAGATTCTATTCAATATATAAAATTATAATTAATCTAAAATAAGAATGGGACATTTATAGGTATTTTTGAAACGGTACAGCTTTTATTAAAAGAAATTAATTTCATTTTGATTCAATACTATTCTCATCAATAGCTATAATAAATCAGTCGTGTTTCGCGGTCGTTAATCCACAAAGCGTTTCCATCGATCAAATAAAAGTTGCAGGGATGAATGATTGCCGCGGACAGGTTACAATCGAACGCGAGAAAAAAGGAGCTCGGACAAAAGAACGACGGGAAGAAAGTGAAAAAGATTTTCTCCAGCGGCGACTCCAACTAATTAACGTTGCCCGTTTCATGGACCATTTGCATGTTTCCCATAATTATCACGAACGCGGCGACTAGCTTTCCGTGCTCCGTCGAGCTTGAAACCGATGGGGGGTATCGTGTACTCACTTTCTTCATTTCGATTCTGAAACTGTCAAATTGAGAAAGTAGCTTCTATAAGTTGCATGTTGTTAGCGTCGAAAGAAAGTTGCGCTCTGCGATGTCTTCAAGTACACGCTTATGTAGGTGACTGCGCCAAAGTAGCATTAAAATCTCAGCAACGAAAGAGAAATTCATTTAGAGGGGATGTTGCTCTTTTAATTCACAGGTATTCATGTCATGTTTCATACTAGGTTTTTCTAACAAAAATTTATTCCTTTTCTGAAGTCATATCACATCGTGACTCAACTCCTTCACTTATCAATCAAAATAAGTACTACGTTAGTTTTTCTTTGATACTTTATTGCAAGGGAAACTCAACATAAGGTAGCCTACTCTTTAAGTTTGATAGCTTTTTACGGGTGTTTTATCGAAATATGTCCAGTTGTTTTCGAGCTATAGCGTTTCACTTTTGTGTCAATCAAAAAAATTATAAAAATACCTACCCTTTGATATTTATTATATTTTTATGTATAAATGCTCAGAAAATAACGTGCCTTAATTTGTTACAACTATAACAAAACGTAATTTCTAGCAAGCATGACGATATTTATTGTTCTAGAAGAAATTGCATTTCTCTGCAACATCATGCTGGTTCTATGAATGCAAGAAACTCCGCACATTCGCGTTTGACGTAGTCACGATTGTTGAATCATCTCCTGCCTAAAAAGTGCGCCATTGCTCGGAAAAGGTCTCAGTGCGATGGAATAGTCTGAACTATTTGCTGAATTTGTAGTTTATATAATAGAAATATAATTTTGCACGCGATAATGACACAGAAGCTCCGTTAGAAGTTTGATGAATCAATCGATTGCCCTTCTCGTTTTGAGATCGTTGCTGTGAAATTATTTACAACTATTTGCAACTATTTCGTAAGATACGAAGCAGGAAAAGATTGATCGAAATCGAAGCACGCGGTCACGAGAAATCGTTGTTGATCGTAACGAGGCCATTGTCGGTGTATTTTCTCGGTTATCTAGGAAACGGTTTTGTCCGATCGTGTCAGGTTTTTTTATCTTTATTTTCCAGTAGCGTGCGCTACATAACAAACTCGACGAGACAACTATGTTCAGGACGATCCTCTTTTACTCTGAAAACACAGTTTTCGTTGTACGAACGACTCGAGAGCAGTCCGGAACAATTACATAGTTACCAGTTTAGAATTTTGTGCGTTACATATTTATAAACAATAATAAACGTACGTCAATCACTTTAATCGTTGTTTACTCATAGTTGGTACTAAAAGCAGATGACGTTCGAAGCGTATTCTGATGCACCTAGCGCCAATAATCGACCACGTCCATGTTTGGTGCGCGAACCATAATGGATTTATTATTTATACCTCGTCCAGGTTGTATTTCTTATGTCTCAACTCGCATTCCGATAAGACATAGTTTGAGGCCGCGGGCACGCATTTCCTGCACCTGTCGTATATGTAACACGTCGACCATGGACATGGATACGTAAAATGATGCACACATGGCCACGCATCGATTGTCGTATTGCATAATCGACGAGGAATACGGTTTAATTCCTTTTATTTTTAAAACAACCAAACATCGCTCGGGTTACGCATAATTTTCAACTTAACTCTACGCTGCATATATTTTATTTCAGCCACTGTCGTAAAAAGGAAGCAACAATTATTATATTCGAGTAATATTGGTTCGAAGAAAATATCGATTTTGATTGAAACGTCCCTTTTATTTTAGCGTATCGTTGATATTTCAATTTCAATTTGTCCGACAACGCCTTGAAAAGAAATATTGTTGCTCGTTGCATTTCCGCGCCACTGTTAACAGAATTATGTTAATATTCTTCGCGCGTTCACGAACGTTACCTCTTTTGGCCCCGACTGTCATTGTGTGCATTCGAATGTAAATTACTTTGACTAATAGCCCGACAGACTATCTTTGGACTTGCAATAGTCACTGTTGACGTACGCTTCGGTGAAAAACAAATTTTTTACGGCAAAACAGAAAATTCGCGATCGAGTTATCACGCGCCAGAGTTAGCAATTACACGAAACTAATGCATTGCTGTCGTTTAATTCTATGTTTCACAGTAAGAATAATTGTTTTCAAATGAAAAATGTAAGGAACAGCTTCTTATAAATCGAACGTGTTGATTTTCTTCTAATTATCTTTTCAAACGCGTTGGATTTCCATGAACGTACGAACGACAGCGAATTATACGTTTTCCACGTAGATAATTTTACGCCACTGTCAATTAATTCTGTGCATCATAAGGGGCGATAGCGAGCGTACTTTCACACTTATCGCGAACGTAATGGTGAGAAACATTCCTACGCATCGGCGTACAAGTTTAATTATTTTTCTAACGCCGTAATTGAAAGCAAACAAACGTTTAATCGGCAGGCTACAAGAAAATTGTGGGTTTGTTGAAATTTTTATCCTCCGGCTGTCAATTAAGACGCGCAGTTTCGCGGTTAACCGGGCAATTATGTTAGTAGTTTGTTTTAATTGATGCCTGAAGACGAGCTCTTTAAAAAATAAGAACGTCAGACGACCTTCCCGGCGTGCCTTTTCTCCGTTGAATAGTAATGAGCGAATTTCCTTAATATTTATTCGCGTTCGCGTCTAGCTGCACTATCCGTGATCTAATTTGCATTAACCGTTGGCTCGATTGCCCGTTCGTAAATCATTATTTTCAACGTCGGCCGCGAAACGGTTTTGCTCGAAAATAGAACGTTGTGCTCAACGATGCGAATTTTATGTTACGTCGTTGGTTTAAGGAAAATGTATGTTAGGGATGCAAGCATGTAATGTACAGGTAATTAAATCTTAATTGCTATGTAAATCAAACTCACAATCAGCGTAAGAGCATTCGATGTTTTATCAAACTTGTAACATGCATTTTCGTGTACTGAAATTTATTCACACCGTCGATAGGTTGTTACTAAAATACGATTGATAAATTTGAACGACGCAGAGTGTGTCGCATAAATGGGAATTCGGAACAAAAATCATAGCTTCCGAACTAGTCAATTTTCGACCCAAGACCTCTTACACTTTTTTAAAGAGAATACAAAGATACGCGATGCACAAAAATTATACATTTTTGTTAAGAAGAATTGAATCGACCTTGATTTTTTGTTGCATAAAAATTGTTTTGCTAATTTCTACTATTGCAATTTCTTATCAAGTGATTGCTGTGTAACTTTTGTTCGAAAAGTTTTTTGGTTGGCTTAGAGGAAGTGCCTGAAATATCGTAGCGATCATTTCGAGTATGTGGTTGTTTGGGGAGAAAATCATAACTTTGCATCTGTCTAATGTTTTTCCTTTATTCCTTTTTAATTAAAATATAAAATAGATACAGATACAATTTCTTATCTTGTAAATAAATAAAAGAACATTTTCTATTACATTAATTCCGATTTGGATTCGGAGCAGGTATCAGTAATTACAATAATGATTTTGATCATTTTCTCTGTTTCGGGCAAATTCGGGCAGCTAAAATTGGCGTTAAATTAAAGTTTAATGTTCCCTAAATTAATATGCAAAAAATCATCAAGGTATTTTTTTTTAAACTCAATTCAAAGTTGATAAACATTCAACATAAAAAATTGGGACCAGTTGTTAATATTGTAAAAAGATTGTTTAGCTGTTTGGAAGGTACTATAATAGTGTGCACAACTTGCAAAAATCAAATTAAAAACACAAATTTTCGCTAAATGGCACATGTTTAAGAAAATGCACCGAAAATTGCAATAAATTTCTGGTCTCATTTTCCACAACAAATTGGTAAATTCGGTAAAAGTTATGGATAGTGTTAAAATCTACGTTCCTTTATTAACATTTTGGGGTATAAGAATTTATAAAACATGGGCTTTAGTTTTTTGACTTTTGTCCATTACTGGACACACTGTGCGACGTTCGGATACAGTCGATTAATCGTATCGATGTTTATTTGGAGCAACTGATGATGCTTAACAAAATTTTTCTAAAATATTCAATCGTCCTGATAGTATTTTGAATTACAGGTATTTCTTATTATTCAAAGTAGAATATTTCTTTTTGTTTAATGTTGAAAAGTATTTCATTAAATTCATCAGTCTCGTTATATTTTTAGAATCCTTTTTTATTATGATTTTGATCTAAATTATATATTTTTTATTCTGTTAATAATGTGTAGACTATATTTGTGGATTTATGAATTCATTTTCAATTTATTGGTATTTGCACAATAATACACAATGCTTTACGGAGCAGCGTTATAATTTCGATGCATAAACGTCTCGTTAATGGGCAGTGTAGTGTTATCGTATAGGTCAAATAATAACAGAGTCGTGGGTAACAGTGAAATTAACTGGTCAACAATATCTTAATGCACGGAAGCACGATAAGTTATCAAACGAAAGAACTGCAGCAAGCTGTATGGACAAGATACAAGCGAGAACTTTTACGTCGCGCGTCCTCTCACTGAGATTTAATTTCCTTGATAATCATAAACTTGCTCACAGAAATCATAAATTGCAGTTTCTCTATACTTTCACGGCGACTTGGTGGTTTCCACGATATACATAGAGGCCTCATTTTCAGGGTCAGAGGACAACTCTCTTCCAAACCGTGACCTTAATCGAGCTATATTGTTCTAGTCACGAGCAGCAACGGATACAGAATGTTTACATACCAGTGATAAATATTTTAGAAAGTGAATATACAGAGGAAAATAGGATAAAAGTAAAAGCAATGAAATTTAAGATCGTTTATTCGAGTTAATGACTGTGCCGATCATACGTGAGAAAACAGATTCCTTTAATTCCTTTCTTTATCAAAAAACGTACAACAAAAGTATGTTGAGTTTTTGCACGTGTAAATAACGTTTTATTCGTTACTCGTCAAAAGAAAATTTAAATTCGAATTAAGCAAATTAGCATAGCTTCTTTTTATTATTAAGATATACATATAACTTCTATAAAATCTTTCTCATACATTTTCTAACCGATTCTAAATTACTTTGAAAATGAATCGTCGTATAAAGAAAATAATTATCACTGCTTCCCCATCATCGCATATCGATTAAATAAATATTGCTTCTCGATTTTTTAGGACGTACGCGTACATGTTACGCCAAAATGTTATGTCTTCGACTAGTACCAAACATGATCATCATCCATTGAAGAGTTTTACTCCCAGGAGTCGCTATTAAGAGTTTTCTAACCTTACGAGCAAATGGAAGAACTGATTACGAGTGACTAGGCAACTTTCAGCATGTTCTTCCGCTTGCACCTGTGATAGACTTCTCATTTCCAATACCGACTCTCAAGAGGAAAACTTTCAGATATCAGATATTGCTCGGCTATATTTCAGGTTAATCTATGAAAATAAAATTGTAAGTCTGTAATTTTTTAACGATTAGATGTACAGTTTATAGGTTCCCATTATATTCATTTATTTGTTTGCTTTTTACACGTATTTCTCTTTCGTTATACTCAGTGCACACGTAATTGATCTCTGACACATTTAGTTTGGTTCTTCGCTTACCACGCTTCCTCACTTTCATATAATCGGTTCAAATTAAACTGATTATTCTCTGTCTATGTTCTTGAACCTTCGTATCCTTGAAGAAACTTCGGTGTCAAAAACTCTGAGCAAACCAAGTAATTATCGTTAACCTTGATCGTTTTTCATCGTCTTCTTTGCAGTGATTAGCATTTGATTAATCACCTTAAAGCAACTTTCGTTACATTAAACGTGATTTCATCCGTCCGTTGCGATTGCTTGGAAACTTCTTTCGAAATAATGTACCACACGTGCAGGTGAAACTACGAACCATATTTTGCAAGTTTCTCTCAGGAGTGATTTAATAACGTAAAAAATGTCTTCCTCGATAATCACGGTAATAATATTGAAATAATAATGATAATAATATGTAGTGGTCCTTGTAAAACCACTTTCAATATTTTTCATAAAACATGCAACTATTTTTTGATAACTTCTTTATAATCGTTATCATTTATTTTGAAGCAGTTTGATTTTCATGCAATGGTGTGTATTCGAAGCATTGAAATATTTACATAAATTTATAAATTGTTCAATATTATGCAAATGTTAGAAATAAAGGATTGTCAAAATTAAGCCTTAAAATTTCTGTCTTTATTTGGTAAAGATATATATATAATGTTGCACATGTAAGAAGTTTTTATAGTTATTTATAATATAATAATAATAATAATAGATGATCTTGTAGTATGTCGAGGAGGAAAATCACTGATGAAGAACATTTGTATCTAAAACATGAATACAAGGAAATAAATTTTTAAATAAATTTTACATAACCTTTAACAGAAAATTAAACTTGCATCATCATAATTACGCATGTACCAACTGACAAATGACTATGGCGTAGAAGATATTCTACAATTACTTAGTTCATTCATATTTTATATCAGACAAAAGAAGTCGTCAACAAACAAGTTGTTTGTTGCCTAAGTCGAGGATCAAATCATCAAGTCTAAAGAAAATTTGTCAAAAAAACAACACGAGTAGAAAATATTTTCGCGAACCATTTTACCTAATTTAACTCATTGATCAGTCTCCAGAGGTTTTCAGAGTGCAATAATTAGAAGTACAAATTTCATTGCATGAATAATTTTTGCAGAAACGAATTCAAAGCAAACAGGAGAAAGTCAAAAGGGTATTTTATTCAGTCTGAATAAGACATTTAAATACACACTTGCGTGCAATGAAATTTCTACTCTTAATTATTGCGAGGTCCATTTTTCGTCTCTGGGATCTATGCTTCCATGGGATTTTCAAGGCCACTTAGCAGTGTCTCCGCAGGTGGCCTCGTCCTCCAAAGTCAAAGGACAATACTCGTCCGCAGTGACCCTCTCCAAATGTCCTATGTCCGCCCTCGGTTTGAACGGCAACTCGGAAATCAAAATGCCTTCCAGCGGCTCCTTCTCGACAGCGTCCTCCTCGAACTCCCAGAAATCGTCGTTCGACTCGTCGTTGATCGTCGCCGACATGAAATCCGTCTCGGTGAGCGTGATGGTCTTCACGTTTCTCGTTCTCGGCGACCGATTGTCGCGCGAAATGTCCCTAGAAACGGTCGGCTTCTTGTCGCGTTTAGCTCTCTTCCTGGTGTTCTTAGACACCGCGGAGACTGATCGACGATCCTCTTTCTTCTTCTCTGCTTCTTCGAGGTCACGGTCGTCGTGATTAATGGGTCGTCGAGATTCTTGCTCATCGTCGGTCGACTTCCTACTTTCCAGCTCCGATTCCGCGGTAGTTCCCAGGAATGCATTTTTATCGGTGGATCCCCCCGCAGCCTTGTTTTCACTAGTGCCACCTGTCACGTCCTCCTCGCGATTCGGTTCGACGATCGCGGAATCGTTTTCTGCAGCTTCGACCGTGCACGCCTCTGGCTGGAAGACTTCGGTGACGTCCCGTGGCGGCTCCACCGTCGTCTGGGGACTTTCCACGGGGACGGGATCGATCTTATCGACCGAGACACCCTGCACGTCGGATTTCATTCGCGGATTCTTCCGATACTCCTCCTCCAAGTAACTCCGGAACTGATCCCTGAAGTAGCTGTCGATCAATTTCCACACGTTGGTGCTGTACCAGGTGAGGATTCCGATTAGGAATACTCCGCGGAAAATCAGCCCTAACATGATCGTTCTTCGTACAATTTCATCAAATCGATCGAAATAGCTCTTCTCTGTCTCTGGTTCTTCTTTTAATACGTGCTTGGATAGTGTAAAGTTAATGGTACAGATATAAAATTTATTGGACTGCTAGAGATTACGGATCGTAGAAGAGTTTGTAAATATGTTTACTTCGTGTTTTCCAGAATCGATATCGTACCAATTTCAACGTACACTCCGATTCCTAGCTGCAGGCAAGGTAATACAAATATTTCTATATCGTTATTCTCTTTGAAGTTGAGTCACGTTATGATATTTATACGTCCAGGAAGCCAGGAATGATTTATAGCAAACAGCACGTTACAAGCGTCGAATCACTCCGAAAATATTGCAATTTAAGGAATCGTTTCCAACGTAAGCAATATTTTTATGTGCTTGTTTAATGCCAAATCTTCGATTCTTATAGGGAAAATAGTTTGTTTCGATAGTTTGATAGACACTGACGTGTTTATTCTTCACCGGAAAAATAGTCTCTCAAAGCGGAAATAACTTCTTGCATTTTTGGCCATCCCATGGTCACGAACACCAAAATTGAATTGGCGATGACGAAGAGTCGCATCATTTCGATACCATCGCTGGATCGTAGCCACTCGCTGAAACCTTGATTGTGGGTGTCATCGTTCAATGCTGTCTCCTCTTTATCTTCCTTTTTCCCATTCTTTTTGTCCTCCGTAGGCTTGATTTCGTTCTGTCGACTTTTTCCTACCCTATTGTCATGATTATTGCGTTTCTTCATTGCTTCTGCATGGATTTCACCTGAAAATTCCTTCGACTTCAATCATCCATATCCAGTATTCTTTCATTATTAACTAAATAGGGCTAAATTTAATTAAATGGCAGAACTCATAACGAGGAACAAAAAAGTTTAGCGATCGTAAATTTGCAAACTCGTTTTATTAACAAGTTAATATTTCTCTATATTTAGATAGCTACTCTGCAATATAGGAAATCTACTTCAGACATCTTTTATGGTTTCTTCGTTATCCTATTAGTATGTTACTTACCAGCATTGAGGTTAACATGTTTCTTAGTACAGTTCGTTACTCCTCAAGAGGTCCACACTTTTTACTGTAACGCTGGGTTAAATAGTTTAATTTATCAATGTTTCTGACTTATACGGAAGGAACTTTTCCTGAGTTAATTAAGTTACCTTTTATTACCTGAAACAGAAGAGAAACGTTTCTTAATTTCACTCGGGCGTTGGTTTTTAGTATCGAGCTATAAATGGGATATTGAAATAAACTGGATCTTAGTATTCTCGCGATTCTAGTTTCATGTACGAGATGTCAAGTGATCCGTGTGCATTAATTCGCATGCAAGAGTATTACAGAAACATATTTCAGACATTCCTGGACGTAGAGAAGATACGAGTGCTCGAGTACGATGACCGTGATCCGACATACACACATCATTCACTTGCGTGCGCACAATGCTGCGTGTAAAATGCGGCTTTCAAACGCGGGGTTTTAGAGCAAGTGGCAGAAAGTGGGAAATATCCATACCTAGAGTCACGATTGTTCTTTTTGACAAAGATTTTTCGCGACGGATAATTTGCTTCCTACTCGCGACGATAGAAAAATTTATTTTCTCGTTGCAATCTTTCATATTTTAATGCTCGACCCGTTACTGAACTTAAGTTTTCTCATTAAAGTTCAACAAATTCGATATAAACGACGCAAAATAAAAATTTCCATATTTTTTATTATATTTTCATAAAAATCTTACTAATGGATCAGTGAGATCTTTCCGTTGAAAACGAGTACAAACACGACCACATTCGGACTATTTTTTATTTCTTTATACGCATCAATTTTGAAAAATTTCCAATTTCGTATAATTGAAAGAAGTCTGAATGGGATCGTGTTTGTACTCGTTTTCATCGGAAAATCCTCGCTGTTTCGTTGATAATACTTTTATGGAGGTATACATAAAATAGAATTAAATCTCTTGTATTTGTTATACTTAGGCTTTTGTTATTAGTAAAATTGGATCTATTGGAAATCGTCGTGAATTTAATGTGACAGGAAAGTATCTTAGTTCGTACTATTCTGCGCGTGTTATGGGTATTATATATTCAGATCGAGACACGTATGAGCGTATCTCATATCTGGGAATGAACAGGGAGGAAATTGTGGCGAGACGAAAAGCGAAGCGTTATCGGTGAAAGTCAGTCGAGCCACGGACGACAGTTTCCATGCACGTTTGCACTTCTCCAAATTTGAGATCGCTCAGCCGACCATCATCCAGTTACCCAAGTGTGCTTTCCCATTATTCCTCTTTAAATACCGTGTAATAAGGACGTCATAGAACACGATCCTCCGTTAATAGAAACGTCCTTGTTGGAGGATATTCAGAAATCAATATCGAAAAGTTAATTAATTTCATTTGCGAGTCGAATAACATTCTTCTATTCGGTAGCAATTTACTAGAACTTAGTCAAAAATAAAGTACGACAACTTGATTGAAAATTAAAAACTAAATAAAAATAAATATTCACGGTTATAGTATAGAAAACGTAATTCGAGATATCAGGACATCATTGACTCGAATATAATAGAACACTAAATCCTTTGTCCCGGTTTTGTTTCTTCCCTAAAACTTGGACCTCCATATCAAGCCTTTAATTACCGAAGTTCGCTCTTCCATTATTTCTGTTGAAACTCGCATAATGTACGACAAAACTTCGACCGCCACTGGCAAAAATAGTTAGCTGTTAACTAGGAGATAATTATAGAAGCCTTTCATGGGTACAGTACTGTCTGATTCTTGTTCTTCGTCCCTTTGGTCTCGCGCGTCTTATTCGTGGAAGCACTTTACCGTGATATTTGAAATTAATTTTTGTGTCTTTACACGATGCATTTAAGTATCAAGGTTAATTTTTCGACGGTTTCACTTCGTTATTGCACCGCTTGAAAAATTGTTCTTTCTTTTGTGTTTCTCAACTGTAACAGTACGAAAGTTTTAGACGTCGTGAGCCAGTGCGAGTTCAATCTCTGAAATTGCGTTGCAATGAGATCAGCATATTGTAATTGCCTCATGAATAAATATACGCTCGTTTTCGTGGAAACAGGATAGCAAGACGTTTGTTAATAAATTTTCTTCCTGTTTTAAAATTTGTCCTTTTCTTGATCGAATTAAACAGAATTTTAGGTTGCCTCTAAAGTAATTTCGATCAATTATCCAATATAGTTTTCTTTCCTCTTTCATACAAAATCATATTTATTACAGTATGATTTTTCTTAAAATTTTCAGTTTCATTTTTTGAAGACCGAATTAGCGTAAATTCGATTCGTCTCTGTCTTTCCGTCTTTCAAAAGCACGCTTCCAAATTATTCAATTTCGACGCTTTTGAATCCAATCATGCAGGATAATGAAAGTTTAAATAGCTCCCAATGTCAAATGTTAGTTTAACGACTGAACCAGATAAATCAATATGGAAACGAGATTAGGGATAAAACAGAGTGCAACAAAAAGAGAGAGAAATCCCTGTTCAATGGTTTCCATGCTAATCAAATCTCTAGCAACTCGTACGTTTGTCCAAATTAGATTAACAGTGTCATTCATCCAGATCACGTTTAAAGTATTTATTTATAATAAAATGAAGTAGGAACGATTAAATTTTAATTTACACATAGTATTACTATTACTAACATAATACAGTACAATACATTTTGATTCGTTAAATTTACTTTCTTGGTGATTTTATTGTTACAAAAAAAAACTTATTGCACCACGAACATGTAGTAATGTCTTAACTATCGAATACGAAACAATGCAATGAATAGAGAGACTTAATTCGCAAACTGATTGTTGTGTGTCTTCACTGAAAACCTATTGTTTCACTTAGCTACTGACAGAACTGTTAAGACGTTCACAGTAATAAAGAAGATGGAATGCATATCAGTATCAGTATTTGCAATCATTGTATAATTGGTAATTTTCACATCACGAGTAGTCCGTTTAAATTAAGTAAATTTTTCTATAAATTATTCAACATTCCCTGGCATTTGCAAAGAATGAAAGAAAAATTGAGCTCGTATTCGTGGGTTAATTTCACTACGTTACACGGAATTAGGGCAAGAGAAAAGACTCTCTAAGGTTACTTGCTGTACAATTTCACCCTTTTTTTATCACTACGATGTCTGAATTATTTTTAAAGAATTTATATACAGAGCAATCTTTCTTCCCTCCGAATAGATTGTCTTGTTCGTACGTTTCTTACGATCGAAGTTTCGTTCGAACCGACTTTATCAGGAAATAGCACCTACGATAATCCCATCGTTCACGATGGATTTTTCATTGTCACTTTTTCCTACATAAGTTGACGTTCGACGGGACTTTGTGAACTTTATCGAAACTGAATTACTTGAACGCGGAGTTTCCGTCGCTAGAGAACTCACCGCGATGAATTAGTGCTCTGTCGATCACGGTACAAGTTTAGCGAATTACGATTCGGTACCAAGTTTCCATCCACGTAGACTTTCCACCGGGCTTTTCCGTTTTACGAGTTCACGTGTATCGTGGCGCACGAAACGATCGTCCCCGACTGTTTGCCAGGTTTTTCCCTTCTACGTAGCCGGTGGATGTCGCTGATAGGGCTTCTGGAATTGGTAAGCTCATTACGAGACTGTCTTCGTTTCGTTAAGGGTTCTCAGAAGCTCACACATACAGTGTCTCATAGAAGTAACTGTGACGAGTTAGTTTTCTACCTTATAATAACAAAATGACAACAATTTAAAACTAGTATCAACCTGTCGTTCCTAGTTTTTCTAACAAATATAACAACTTCGTGTTCAAGAAATCTCACTGAAAAGTAGAACACTGTGAGAAGAAATCGTTCCTGTTGCGTTGCCTAGTCTGGCAATTATAATAAAAATATTTGCTAGAATTTTTTATCAAATGCGTATCTTTACAGGATAGGATCTACAATTTGTAAACATTTCGTGAAATAATAAAATAAGGAATATTTTAATTATTTTACATTTTCGTTGTAAAATTGTGGCACTTTCAAAGAGTAGTTTTGAATGACAAATTTAAATAAAATTATAGTAATATTATAATGGACGTAGATCGTCTTACGTAACTGGCCGGCGAGGAAAAAAGACAACTTAAACGGGCAGTCTCCATTAAGCCACCTCAGGAGAGTTCTCTTCCTCGGTGCAGAAATTGAATTCTAATATAATTACACCCCTGGTTCGTTTCGACGACGAAGCTGTAGAATTCTGAATGAATTTTTCGCGAACCTTTCTAAAGACTGCATTTTTACGAAGCTCGTAGATCCACGTTGCCTCATACCTTACCAACAAACCGAAACAGTATTAGGGTCTCTATTTTTCAAGGAAAACAACGAAGATTCAAAGTAAAGATTTTATTTTAACGTTTCATTGTTCGCTTTTCCAACAAGTGTCGTACCGTTGTTTCTTTTTCTTTTAGATAGGTACGCGATTT